TCCCCCCCCCCCCCCCCCTCTCTCTCTCTCTCTGTCTCTCTTCTTTCCCCCCTTTCTCTTTCTCAGTCTCCCCTCTCTCTTCTTCTCCTTCACTTCGTCTCTCTCTCTAATTCCTTTATTCTGTTTCTCACATTCATTCATTTCTTCTTGCGTTCATTTCTTCTTCTCCTTCTTCTTCTGATACACAAACGTTCAAGCAGTAGACCACGATCTAACGACGGTGGTTAGTCCCATTTGTTGTTCCGTACACAAAAGATAAGGGAGTGTTGAGTTGTTAACAAAATGTAATATACAAACTCAAGACGCTAGTCCTTAACATAACGCCATCCGTCAATGTCAAATCAGTGTATCGAAATTCTATGATCTTCTTCAGAGGGTATAGTAATTTCACACCTCTCCTCACACCCCAAAGAACGATTCATGCACTGAGAATAATGTGCGGAATATAGAGTCTAGATCTACAACTTCACTTACAAAAGACGAAATGGAAAGACCACTCCAATAGTAGACGAAGCGCAGAAGCGTGCCTTTCTTTCGAGCTGATACAAGAAAAGAAGCAGCCCTCTCGCTCAATGTGCATTACTACAACAATAAAGCGCACACAGACATTCATAAAGTAAAGCTGGGACAGTTATTTTTAGTTACCACGCGCCGCGCAAGTAGCAGGTGAAGCCGACCATACCTGAAAGAGGCCCGATTGAAGCGGTGGAGAGAAAGAGAGAGAGAGAGAGAGCGAGAGAGACAGAGAGCCTTGAGGGCTTGGTGGTAAGGTGTGTCACCGAGTTAGGTGTGTCTTTGCGTGTGGGTGTGTGTGGGGTCTTAAAACAAGCTGATATAGGCTCTCCTTCTCTGTATGTGTGTGTGCGCGTGTGTTGGTCGTTACCACACTTTGTGTTGTCTTGCACAGCGAAGACAGAACTAGATTCTACACACACAACGCAGCTGATTTCTAAACAACGCAGTTCTTGCACCTATTGTCGTCGCGTTGGATCGCCTGGTTCACTCAACACACAACACACACACATAACCTAAATCTAGCTTGTGTCGTTGAGCCGCAAAGTGTGTTAGTGTTACGACTGATGGATCGAATGTAGCCATCGATGTTTGCTTCATTGATCTGAGGTGAGCGATTCGTGTACATATCAATACGCTAATGGTAGTTGACCAAAACAAACTTTTCCCTATCGTCAGTTTCCGAGTGAGTGAGTGAGATGTTGATGTTTTCATTTGGTCGTTAACACAGGTAGGTCCTGATTTTAAAAATGTTTTGTCTTAATTAACAGAACTGCTAGATTCTACTCCCCCCCCC